ACCTCCTTGCACCATTCTACCGCTTTTTGATTTGTCAGAAAGCCAGTGCAGTCGCCCACGAATCGCAGTACACACAAAACGGACACTGCCGACGAAGCAAATACGTTGTATCTCGGCAGCACGACATAGCACGACGACAGCCCTGCGCTTGAATTGCCCCACCTGGAAGGCCGAGTGGAGACCACAGTGTGCTACATCTCCGTGATCAAGCCGTCTTTTCTTTGGACGGCGAATCTCTGCTTCCTCGGCAGCCTCACCTTGGCTGTGTTCGGAGCACGTTCTCTCTTGCGACTCTGCTGGCCGTCCAAGCTGCCGTCAAGCTCAGGGCAAGCCGCGGCTAGGAAGGCGGGAGAAACCATGGTTCCATCGCGTCGTGAAAGCGCGGCTCAAGCTGAGCACTGCCAGGTAGCGGAAAGGGCTCAAGGGCCGATGCACAGCTGGAGCCAATAGCCACACCAGAGGCAAAGCTAAGCAGGTAGCAGAACCCTTCGTAGCAACTTCCACTTCAGGGCATGCCTGAGCCTCCTTCAGAAGGTAAGCGCTGCAAACCCCCGTACGTTGGTGTGCAAACTTGCCCCAAGCCGTGTCAACCTAGTAAATGCTGCGCATCTACACCTAAGCCTCAACCCCAGGAAACCGAACATGCCCCAGCCTCGATGATCCACTTTCTCCAGGCAGCGCTGGAAGTTGTGAGGCAGTGCTAGTGGGACTTGCTGTGGTGGGGGGTGGAGCTGGTGCTGATGCGCAATATCCCCAGGCGAGACGACCGTGTGAACTGGGATGGCGAGGAGGAAAATTTGTGACCCAGTGCTGCTTGGTGTTTTCTGCAGGTGGCTGCAAGTGAAGGTCGCACTGCTGCTGCCACACGGCATGGTGCAACTAGTGTGTTTTGGACAATCTGGTCAGTGCGCAGTGCCAATAGTTCGGTTGCCAGTGACATGAATTCGTCATGCCGAGTTTGACTTTGCAAGGCAGCTGTTGAAAAAGGCGCTGTTTGAACAAGGCAGACCATGCCGCCCAGCACTGCCATCTGACAGTTGCGACGTGCTGGTCGCACCGAAGTGTTTCATTGGCTCGAGCCTCGGGCATTGGTGCGGCCTTTAGAAATAGCTGCGGGGCGTGGAACCATGACCATTAGGGTTGATTGTCATTTTGGCATGCATTCGCTCGGGCACAAACCAGTTGACACACTCAGGCCTCATGTCGTTGCTGCTTCTTGCCGCGTTGGAGGGCGCCAACTAGTCATCTGTGGTTGAGGCAATCGCCCGAAAGAAGGCATTCGCAACAGAGCTCCGAAAGGACCTGCAGCAAAGGAAAGAACAATTCATTGAACTCTTTGTGCTTTCCTCAGTGGCCTTGCTGTGCTTACATTCGAGCATGCAAAGCATCCTGATCATGCACCACTTCGAGGCGAGCTCCCGCTTCAATGAACTGGTCCTCACAGGTGGTGACTCCGCTATCTCGGGATCAACTTATGTGATACCTCGCCTCGCGCTCATTGGCTTTGGCGCACGCAAGTTGACAACCGACATACAACAGGGAAACTCAACAGCGACGACGACCGTGACGATGACGACGACGAAGCCGCCGCCGCCGACGACGACATGATAATACATCTCGTAACACGTGCACCGAGAGCAAGAATAACAACAACACTGCCAACGGGAGGTCAGAAAACTAGGCTGGGAATGCAGCCACAAGAGCAGCCCACCATGCGTAAAAGATCGTACAAAACACTCTGACTCCTTGCGGCACATGACACAGACTGTGCAGGCCTCAGCCTCGCAGGGGCTGCAGCAGAAGTCCGTGACATCAACGCATGTGCAAAGATTGGCATCTTGGCAGGACGGCAGGAGTGAGGCTATACCTGCTTCGGGTTTAGGGCCAAAGTTTAGGGGCAGCATGCTTTGATGTTCTAGACAATTTCAATGGGAGCCCGTTCTTTTGTCCTGCATTCCGTAATTTCAGGCGCCCTGCTTGCTGAACGACATGCTCAAAAACTGGTACTTGCTACTTTCGCTGGAGGCAACCCAGCCACCCCACGGAAAGACAACATATTCTTTCAAACATGTTGAAGATGGTTAAGCTTGAACGAAAACTCCAAAGGAGTCTAGCCCACCACTGTTGTTCGGCCGGGTCGCAGAGCCGTCTACTAGCGCTGTGGATGCTGTCTCCAACATCTGCGGTAGTCGTCATGACGGACAACGTTGGAGCAAAACTGCTGAGGAAGGCGGATGAAACGAACACTTTAAGAAAGCTGGACTGCAAAGTTCCAACAAAAGCACTAGCTAGGGGCCTTTTTTTCGGCCACTATATCATGCTTCCACAAGTCTCATTGTTCCCGGATTTGTTGCATCATGCCAAGAGTTTTATTAGGTGTGGGAGCGACAGCTGGTGTTCAGTACGCTTCTTTCGCAATTGAGTCAAGAGGCCCTGTGGTTCGTAATGTGCAATCAGCAACTGAACAAAACTAGCCTGCTGAGAGGCGGTGGAGGCACGCACGGGCTGTCGTGTGAGCTTGATTTTCCTGAAATCAGTACCTAAAGTCACGCCGCTCTACATGCTTAAGCAGGCGAGCCGCAACCTTGCACTTTGCATTTTTTCAAGCACTAAAGCACGCATTCATCATCAATCTCTGTCGTTCAGCAAAGGGGTGTGTCTGGAGCGTATGGCGTGTTGCAGGCCTTGCCCATCGACTTTGGCACAGCAATGCCCATTTTCTGGTGGAGGCCTTTTTGGCAGCGTTTGCAGCAGAAGCTCACAGATAATACCGCCAACTGCAGCTAGTCTGCCTAGTTTGATTGGAGTCTAGGCTCCTTGTTCCTTTTGCGCCGTCCTCAGAATTTCTGTAGCCACATCATGTCGGTGAACCGCCCGGCACTCTGCTGCAGCGACTGGTGGCCCCCGTGCTGACTCAGCATGTGGTCCGGAGTCGACTCGACCAGCAAGCTAAGTGCACACGAAGCTGTCGGCCACAGCTGCGAATGTCTTGACCAACTTCACATTCGAGCAGGAAAGCTGAGGTCGTGGACTTGCTACGCAACTGTGCAGATTGTGTTTTGCCACATCATACGCAGCCTGCGCCAAATCCAAAGCCGTTCGGCACCGTGCTGAACCACCGACCGCCTCCGCCTTTGAACTTGTCGGGGTGAGGATCCGCATCAGTGCACGCTTGTCGGGTTCAAGGTCCCGTTCTCGAAGGCCCACCTCGCTGCCGAATCTCGGAAGCAGATCAGCGCAAGGCAGGCAAGGTTCTTTAAGGCTTATAAGGTTTATAATATACATAGGAGGACAAGGAGCAGCCTTGGCAACCTCCTCGGTCAAGGTGGATCTTTGGCATGAAGCACAGACCTCCGTGAACACACGTGCCATTTGACATGTTCAACTACCAAAGGTCTGTGGATCTACCGTGTTATGCTTGCTATATTCGGAATCCTACGCAAGTGTCATTTTCTGTTTCTTGAAGCTTTGCTGGGGAAGCATCACCCGAACCCTTTACGAACACTATGCACTCAAGCCAAGCTTCCAGGCCCAGGGTTTTTAGTTTGCAGCCACGATCTCATGCTCTTCCTTGTGGCCTTGCGCCTCAGCGTAGGTTGAAAGCACCCGAAAGACCCCAAGACCAGTCAAAGTGAAAGTCTATCTCATGTTGGTGGCCGCTGAGGCCCCTGCGCAGCAGCAGAAGTCGCAGGCCTTGCCCGCAGCTTTGCATGCTCGAATGTAAGCACAGCAAGGCCACTGAGGAAGGCACGAAGAGTTCAAGGAATTGTTCTTTCCTTTGCTGCAGGTCCTTGCGGAGCTCTGTTGCGAATGCCTTCTTTCGGGCGATTGCCTCAACCACAGATGACTAGTTGGCGCCCTCCAACGCGGCAAGAAGCAGCAACGACATGAGGCCTGAGTGTGTCAACTGGTTTGTGCCCGAGCGAATGCATGCCAAAATGACAATCAATCAACCCTAATGGTCATGGTTCCACGTCCCGCAGCTATTTCTAAAGGCCGAGCAAAAACCACCGACAATTGAACCTAAACCCTTCGAACGCTCCTCGCTTTCAAGCGCCCGGAGGCTGGATGAAATCCTCCTCGCTTTCAAGCGCCGGGAGGCTGGATGTTATCCAAGATGCACAAAACCCTAAACGATCAAAAACCTCAAGAAGCCTTCACACTGTACACCTGCTGCCCATTGTGATGTGGTCCACGGCCAGCCTGGAATGGAGGCAAGCATCACCCTCTTGCTTATGGTTTGCTGCGGGTATCTGCACGCCTGCAAGAGGTTGGGCAGAGCGATAGCCTTCCATAGAGGCAGCAGTAAACCGAAACGAGTCTCCTGCAGAACGGCTAACGAGGCCTGTCCCGTGCTCGGGTTCATAATCTGAAACGTGCGACGAGCATTGGGCCTTGAGTGATGCGAATTCGAATCTCATCTGTATGATGTCAGACTGGGATCCGTGCGGCGCGAAATACCATTCCTTGGTATTTATGGTTTGGCCGCCTTGGCAAAGTGCGCAGATAGTGCTTTTGCTTTCCTGTCAGGCCTCGATCCTTGGCACAGAGCTGCCAATGCCCGAGGCTCGAGCCAATGAAACACTTCGGTGCGACCAGCACGTCGCAACTGTCAGATGGCAGTGCTGGGCGGCATGGTCTGCAAGTTGAAGTTTTACAGCCTTGTTCAAACAGCGCCTTTTTCAACAGCTGCCTTGCAAAGTCAAACTCGGCATGACGACTTGGATGCTCCAAACCAAGGCTTCTTTTGCGAGGCCGCGCGCTGTCTTGAAGACTCCCCCGTTCACGTGCGGGGCACTCACAGACCCAAGAGCCCAAGAGAGCTGAATGGGGTCTTCTGTACTTTGGGGTCTCAGGTTTATGCCACTTCGCCACCTCACGAAGTCACCAGGTGGCTCGGACCTCCGCCGCGGAGCTCACAACAGCCACAGACCGAGAAACGGGGCGGCCTTGCTCAAAGGCCTCTGCATTGCACATCTGCGCATCGAGGATGTCCACGTTCAGGAGTCGAGGATGATTTTGAACTGAGCAGCCAGCTGTGTGTTTGAAGTTCAGGCAAGGAAAAACACAACCTCTCAATGAGGACGGAACGAAGAGGGTCATCGGATCGAGGGTGAACTCGCCTGAGTACCTGCGGAGCTTTCTCAAGCAGCTTCGTTTTGGGCAAAGGCTGCGCGCACCAGAGTCCATAGGCAAAGATGCCAGGGACCATGCTGTAATGAAAGACGGCCTAGGCAGCATCCACAGCTGGAGCAGACGCTCCGATCGAAGTTCTCAGAATCCTGCATGTCCCCAGGCGTTCCATGCCTCAACGTTTTTTCGGTGGCTTACAGCTGTGCCAATGCTGCATGTTGGGCCCTGAGGTGGCCTGCGCTGCACGCCCATAGGCCACGGCTGCTTTCACTTGCAACTTCTTCTTCACCTCTGCGTTACAAAAGAGATGGGGATCTGTGGGACTCGCTGCCCGAGCCAAGCCTCTGGATCCATTGCCAAAAAGGCACTCCGCCCACACAAACGTCGAAACAAAACTGCAAGCTTGAGCCACAAAGAGGAAACAAAAACTGACAGTGGTCAGAGCAGGTGCCCACTCCCACATCTCTCGCCTCGCCTCGAGCTCTCCGCTCTTTTTTTCCTATCAGCCCTCCAAGAGTTGAGGGGTCAAGAGAAACTCCGGCACGTAGCTCACGAGCCTCAGGGCCATGGCCGAAGACGGAGACGGAGAAGGAACCCAAAAACTCAGACTCCGGCAAACGCAGGAAAGGCGGAGACCTGCAACAAGGGAGCAGAAAAAAGGGACCTTGCAGGGGCCTTATGGAAGAACGATGAACATCGTCGTCATCATGTTCTCACCGAGACAACCCCCTAAAACAAGCTTCCTAGCACAACCTTCCAGACTCCCACGCGCTGTGCCTGGACAGCGTGGCAACGACCATGCCAGATGCACCTGGCGAACACGAGAAAGCACCAGAGCCATCTGCTGGCAATTGATGAAAGACGTCGTGGTTGCATATGATTGCCAGACTTGCTGATTGTTGCGTCTGTGGTGTCTTCTTGTTCAGGCTGATGGTCCCGCCTAGCCACCACAAGACTGACCCGCTTGCCAGGGCTTTCGCGATCACTTCCAGCAGGAAGAGTGAGAACCTACAGCCACGGAGAGAGTGGGCCCGGGCGGACACGGATATATATGGGGCTCCAAGGGGGTCCTGGACCGGGGCGCCGGCATCAGCTGCCAGAGCAGCTCCGTGAAGGAGGACTGCGACAGCTGCCTTCTGTTATTGTGCTTCGGCTTAGCGGCTTAGCGGCTTAGTATGTCTCAGTCTCTAAAGGCCTGACGAAGCGCTGCCGCACGCCCTGGCAAAACGAAAGGTCGGCCCCCGATCGGAGAGCAGAGACTTGGGCTTCTCTTCCGCCTCGCTGCAGTCTGGCAAGGAGCGGATCTCCAAAGCTTCCACCCAGTTCAGGCTGTCCTCGTAGGCCTCAAAGCAGAGCGTCTCCCATGTAAGTGGGCATCTTGTGGCTTCCCCCCCAAAGCTCCCGACGATCTGGGGGTAGAGGCCCTTGAAGGAGGAGAGGCTGAGCCGGAGTGGTGCCAGGCGATGGGTGTCTAAGTCCTGCCCAGCAGGGCGCATCAGGGAGCAAGAAAGAAAGGCGGCCTCGCCCGTCCATGAGGAAGGCCGAGGAACCAGCGAGGGCTCTCTCCACCTCGCAGAGGCGCGCGTCTTCAGACAAAGGGCCAGGAAGGCGCGCTTGTCTCAGCTTTGATCGGACGGGCCGAGCCTGCGGAAACTTCGGAGCGAAGCCTCGGTGCCGAGGGCTTTGGACGTCTTTCGGCTGCGGCCTTTTTTTTGCATCCGAGTCACAGGAGGCCACGGAGGGCTCCAGGCCCCTTGGAAACACGCCCCGAATTGCGCAGCAGCCGAGATTCCGGCTCCGGCCCCCAAAAGACTCTCAGCCGCTTCTCTCAGGTTTCTGCGAGGAGTGCCGCAGCAGCCGGAGGATTGGAATCACGAAATTGTCCTGTGCAACTCATCTGCGGACAAATCTGACGGCCTCTCAAACTCCCCCCCATGGCTCAGCTCGCTCAGCTCGCTCTTGCGCACCTCATCCTCGGCGACCTCCCCGCCGCTTTCTCGAATCTGTGCCACCTCTCCCTGGTACCTGCGCAGACCGCGGGGAGGAGAGCCCGTCTCGCGCGTCTCCACAAGAGCGAGAGGCTTTCGGCCGGCGCACGTGGCCCGGGACTCTTGCAGGTCGCGGGCCTCGAAGCAGCGAGAAAGGCGAGAATCGAGAGCAGAGAGGAGCGAAGCGAGCAGAGCTGCGCAGAGCTGCGCGCGGCCAGCGGAGGCGCTGAGCCGCTGGCCGCTCGCGCCAAGGCGGCGGTCGGGGAATCCAAAAGCACCAGGCAGTAGACCTCTGAGCACGAAAGGGAGGCTGCGACTGCCGGCCCGGCCCCGACTCAGGCCAGGAGAGAACAGAATTGGTGGCGTCAGAATTCTGAACAGGACCGACCGCTGGCTTGCAGATTCTAGGAAGACAGGTGGGGGATGCAAACAGAACAGCGGCAGCATTCTCCAGCATGCAGATCTCTGCGTGCACTCCAAGCATTGCATGGGAACTGTCTGACAGAGTCATGGTCTGACACGACGAGCACAAAGGTCACAAGCTGGGTCTTAACTATCATCGCTTCTAAGCAGGGAACCCTCTGCATCGCCAATGAGCGGCAAAGCAACTCTGCACCTTGCAGTGTCTGGACTGCAAGTCTGTGGCGGTGCTGCTCTGAATGAGACACCGGGAAAACAGCTGCTGCTTCCACGCAAGATTTGCTGCGCAGACACGGAGCAGCACTGCAAAGGAAAAGCAGTGAAGGCCTATAAGGATTAAGGGAGCGACTCTGCACGCTGAGGGAGACTCCGACCATCTCCGTGAAGCGCATCAGCTCCAAGACCATCTCCTCCTCTCCTCGCAGCGACGCGGAGCAGCGGCGCGGAGCGCAGCGCGACGCGCTCGCGGCGCGGAGCGGCGCTCCGCTCCTGTCGGCCAGGCAAAGGCCGCGGCCGCCTTTGGCTCGGTGCCGCCCCCAAGTGCCGGGAAGAGCAGAGCAGCGGCCTCCGTCCGAGAGAGGCTCAGGGGCTCAGAGCTCGGCTCGGCTCCTCGGGCCTGGCCCGACGCCTCCTTCGGCAAAGCTGCCTTCACCTGCAGGTCCAAGTCCAGGTGACTTCAGGCCCAACTTGGGCACAGCGCATCTCTCGCCTGGGCCGGCAAGGGCCTGAGCTGGAAGGCGGAATCCCCCCTTCCCCCCCCCCGCGCAGCTCTGCTGCCCTTCCTTTTCTTTGGGCGGCCGGCAAAGCGTGCAAAAGCTCGGTCTCAGCTGACCGGACCTCGAAGACCTCGGACCTCTGCAGGCCAGGCCAGGCGTGATCAGCGTCTCTAACTATCAAAAGAAACATACACACGCGCGCCACTATACTTCTCTTTTTCTTATAGGTCATTGTTCTGAATTTGTAGTATCTTGGTGCTCTTCTGGCTCAAGCACTGAAAAAGAAAAAACGAGCAATCTCCATCGCCCACAGGAACCACCGCCAGAACTGGTGAACGAATTCACGAAGTCTTCATCGCTTCAACCCTCCCCATCAAACGGGCGACTCGGCGCGCCTCGTGAGCTCTGGTTTCGGGAGATCGCTCCGAATCGACAAGCAAAAGAAAGACACTCGAATCCAAGACCCAAGCCCAAGCCACCACGGGAAGAACTTAGAGTTGAAATCTTGAGAGACGGCGACAGCTAGACTGAATCCGAAGGCAAACCGCGGCTTGAAGCTGCGCAACTTCCAATTCAATCCTCGCGCGAACCCCGAATCCAGTTGAAACCCGTGCAGTTCGACACTTCACACGGCGCGACCCGAACGGACCTCATTAAGCGAAACCCTAAACCCTAAACCCTTATCGAAATCGAAATGAAGGGGACGTTTTTGTTTGGGGCACCCGGCCATTGGGCCGCGAGCTTGCGCGGGACCAGGTGGGACTTGTACCGCTCCTGAGAGAGGCCCCCCAAAAAAGAGAGGGGCCCAAGATTCCGCAAGAGAAAAATTGGGTTTCGGACCTGGGGTTTGGGGTTTTAGAAAAGCACCTGCCCTTCACAGCGCAGCTATCGAAAGCAGAACCATGGTGGCCATGAACAAACGAACGAATGTTTTTCTCTTAACTCGCCAAACAAAAGCTGCTGTGACGTCGTAAAAGCCTTCTGGAGTTCTGCTCTGCTGGGTTGTACATAAAAGCTGAGCTGGTCACTCCGGCAACGACTTATTCAAGGGCCCTTTGTGTAGCCACACCCTTGAGCATGGATAACGGCATACGTGGAGGCTTTTCTGCACTCCTCCTCTGACCGATCGCAAGTTTCGGGCTGCACATTTACATGGACTTCCACGTATGAATCAGCGAGGAAATTCTCCTTCTATCACAAATCTCGCAATACTTGACCGCGTAGCGCCCGGACAAATCCTTAGTGCGCCACAACCACAAGACATATCTCATCTGCTTCACAGTAGGGCCTGTGGGTAGCAAAGATAACTGAGCCATTCTTGCTCCCAGTCTTGCAGCTTGATCGGTCTTTAGCCCGCTCACTTGCAATCCTTCTGTACGTAGCCCCTCCTTTAGACCCTCGCACGTCATAATCATACAGAGGTCTCGGGCCACCCGCATAACTTCACCATGATCCTCCTGCTCATTCGAAGACAAACTGCCTGGCGAAGCCATTGGAATTGATGGTCTTGCTGTAGGGCTCGGCGTTCTGACTCGCTGTCTTTCACGTCGAACATGTCCATCATAATCTTCTGTAGCCATACTCCTCCTCGCCCTCAGTGCATCTGCTGACATAGATGCTGTTGCACTTGTAACTTCCGGCGACATAGAGGATGACATCGCTGTAGACCTTTGCGGTTGGTGGAACTCCTCTGCAGGCTGTAGACGCTGTAGCTCACGCTCAATTGCTTCTGCCGTGGCTGCCTGAAGCTTTCGAAGCCTTTTCAGCTTTCTGCCTCTGGCTCCGGGGGTCCACTCATGGTAGGCTTCAATTAGCAGCCACCGAACTGCCTCCCACACCATCAAGCCACCCAAGGTCATCAGCATGAGCATCATCGCTCCTGCTAAATCCCAGTCTAACTGAACACCAGGATGAGGAGGTGGTGAGGGGGAATCTTCTGCTGCCCTCACTGTCACCATGAGCAAGCAACAAATCACTGCTACCAAAGCCTTAGAAGACACCGAAGACCTTGATTGCAATGCCGGTGCGGTAGTGCTCGGCTCTCCCACCCTCCATAACCGTAGCAATGACGCGATCCGTGCCGAACTCAAGGCTTTAGTTAGAAGGTCTGCCAACTGCCTCTCACCTGGACAGTGCTTCGTTGTAAACTGGCCATAGTTCACTTGCTCCTGTATCCAGTTTGCTTTTATCTTCAAATGACGTGTTCTCCATGATGAAGATCCTGTTGATATGGATAGGGCAGCTGTGCTATCAGACTCTATCTGCTTTTCACCAACAAATATTCCCATATCCACCAGCAAAGCTTCAACGCCCTTCAGCGCAATGGCCCCATCGATAATAGCCAAAAGCTCGGCTTCTGCGGTCGACAGTGTGACCATTGCCTGCTTTCCGCTTCGCCACATAATCGGCGAACCTCCGTATGACACCAACCATCCCCCATGCGAGCGAGCATTTTGTGGGGCGTACGCTGCATCGCAAAACATCACCAATGAGTCTTCTTCCCATCGGATTTTCAGCTGATATCCTGCTGTTCTTTGGAGATAGCCCAGTGTCTTTAGTCCGATCTCGATGACTTGCAGAGGTTGCTTCAAACATAGCGACGCCATTATCGAAGACGTATAACTAATATCAGGTCTGCTCCTCTGTGCCAGCCAGAGTATTTCTCCAGTTAGCTGCTGAGCTAAGTGCACGTCCTTCGGATCAATCTCCCTTGGCACTTCTCGCTCGGACACCAGTTCCTTGGATATTGGAATCTTGCTCATTGCTGTTGTCGGGATAGAATGCAGACGTAGTAGCTCTTGAATGTATCCTTGTTGTCCATTAGCCACCTCGTGCGGAAACTGTTCGTCCACTTGCAACTCCATGCCCAGAAATCTGATCGGTGTCTTTGGCGTCAAAAACGTTGGGTCCGATGTCTCCCAGATCCCTCGGATCCACGTAGCCAGCCTTGTAACCACGTCAGCAGGTCCACATAATAGGAAATCATCCACATACACCAGGATGATGGCAATCATATTATCACCGGTGTCCACCACCTTCCACCAGCTTGTAGCTGCTCCTCCCTGCTGTAGGCGCATACCATCAGGAGGTTCACTGCTTCGTAGGGTGAAGTCACGGAAATCACCCCATAAAGCTGGAGACTGCCTCAAGCCATACAAAGCCCGCACCAGTCCCCACAATTCCATCGGAATCACAAGGCCTAAAACCTCGAGTAGTCGCGGTGGCTGGACCACCACAATCGGGTCTCCCAGTGACCGATTCATTGGTGCCCTCAAGAACGCAGCAACTACGTCTAGTACCGCAACTGTCCACTTGAACCTTGTCGCCAGAGTAAGCCCAGCGCGTACTGCTTCAGCGGGTGCTGTTTCTGTGTACACGGCTGCTCCGTCCTCTGCTGCCATGTTCCCACATACCACCAACCTCGCCTTGCGCTTGAACCATGTTGCTGGGTTAGACTCATCGGCTCGGTCATTGGGTTTGACCGTGAACACAAACTTTGTAGGCAATCGCTGTACTCCCGAGCGATTCAGCCATCTTTTTCGCTCTTCAGATCCGGGACTCAAGCGCTCGATTGCAACCTCAATGGACTTGAGCTCCCTTTCTATCGCCGGTTTCCAGCGATCCAGGCACTTCATGACCTCGGCCGGGTTAACTGTATATGTAACATCCAGCGGACCAGATAACTTTGCCAAAACATCCTCAATGTTAGGCGTATATACCACCTCTGTTTTCTGTATCCGGGGCAGCTCATCATGGACCTCCATAAAGTCCCCAATTCTAGCCATCCCTGGATCCAGGTCAAGGTACATATTCCAGTCCATCTCCTCGATGCTTTCATCTAGCTCCTCCTCGGTCACGACGTCCAGTGCCCTCAGCTGAATTGCTTCGGCTTCCTCATTCCCATAGTATTCCGGAAGCTGAGAAAGTGGTATAGGGAAACCATAATCATGCAGCATAACCACGTCATCATAGCTGAGCTTTCCCAAACACTGAGGGGAATACCCAATCACCACTATCCGGTCACCTTCCCAATGACATACTTCATGAGCACTCATAGGGCCAACCTTGATAGCCTTATCCTCCTCCAAAGGTAAACATTGACCATATATCAGGCGGTCCCCCTTAGACCTCTGCTCGATGGTCCCGCTCACGTAGTCACCAGGTTTAAGCTCTATCCACAATTCCCCACCACGCTCCGGAATCCAGGTAGGAATAACATAATTGTAGGTACGGGGGTCATTGTTGAAATCTTTGTGAAGAGCCTTCTGCGTATTGTAAGACACCAGGATTGACGTGAAGGTAGCTGCGGGATCCACCTCCAGCACAAACTTAGTCAAGAGGCGCACTAGATCGGGGTATTCTTGTATTCCCTTCATCCATCCAACCGACCCACCATGTCGATACACTCCAAACTTCCGCTCGTTGAAGAACTTCGCTTTGGCCAGTCTGTTGATCAGTAGCTTCGCCTGCTTGAAATCCCAGTTGTCCACAACATTCTTTGCTTCCTCAGTGGCCCATTGCTTAACTTCATCTCCGGACGCATCCAACACTCTGAGCTCTATGTCCTCAATCTTGGACTTCTCGACCAACCTCCTCCTTGGCCTGGGCATCTCATCAACCACCAACTTCACATCTGGGGGCTCTGGCTCGATGAGGTTAGAGCGAACATGTAAGGTATGAAGGAATCGCTCCTTTTCACCATCGCCGGCCGGAATGTAGACAAGATGTCCCCGATGTACAATAGTGCTCAAACCCACGTATCTCCCCTTAAGCCACTTGCTTTCTAGTCCATTTTCTCTTCGCAGTGGACCATATTTGTCGAATGCCTTCTTTCTCAAGAACACTGTCGCTCCGAACGGGGCAGCTAGCCTTGACTTGCCGCCCAACACCTTGCTCCTTTGTTCGGCCGCTGCCATAGCCGCCGCTGCGGGCCACAGCCTCACTGGCAACCCTGCCGACTTCAAGAGGGTGCGCGTGCGGTCTTTTATCCAGCGCACCGTCGACTCTGCATGACCGTTCGACTGAGGTACACTTGGTTCCGACCAGGTTCCAAATATTCCCATTTCACGTAGCCACAGGCGGAACTTGTTGCTGAAGAACTCACCCTTGTCTGAGTGGAATCTGTAGACTGGCATCCCATGCATCTGAAGATACATCATGATATCTTGCAAAGCTTGTATCACGGTACTTGATCGGTTATTGGGTAGTCCCGTCGCAAAGGTAAGGAAGGACATAGACGGAGGATCACAATCTCCCTCTTGCGTCAGTACATCGGTCACTTGTTCCTCTGTACCCACATCATCATCACCCTCCTCCTCTGGCTCCGACGGTTCATAGTCCAGCTCCTCCTCGGTGGGTAACTGCTTGCCTGTAGTTCCTTCTCCCACACCCAGAGCTCCAACAGCAACCAAGTCTTCATTGCTGTGACCTCCTCCTGACTTCTCCCTGAAGAACTCCTCAATGGTCTGTATTTCTTCCACCGGAGGTTGCACTTGCTCACTCCCAGGTTCTCCACTTGTTGGCTCAGAGACCACCATCTGAATTCCATTGTCCTCGGGGGGTGTCTTGCCACTGAAGTCTTCAATATACGCCCTTGGCACCAGGTACTTGGCAACAAGGAGGTAGCGTAGGTTTCTTCCCATCGTACCCTTTGAAGTTGCGTCTAATCCAGGGTTTAATGGGCCCGCCACATCAGCTGTTAAGACGTAGGATTCTGGGTGATGAACTTTACGATGCTGTCGTCCAACTCCCCTTGAAGCCACGCACACAGCACAGTCTCGGCGATACTCCGCATGATTCCCATTGACATGAGCCCGCCACTGGGTTGGAGACATAGCCATCAGCCTTGGAGCACATATCGCATCTCGACTCCAAAAGTTTAGTGCCACAATCAGCGCTTGCACAAGTCCTGGAGACCATATATGGTCCCGCTTGCCATTCTCAGGCATTGGTTGATCCTCAGGTACCCGTAGCTCCTCTAAGGACATCAGCGAATGAACATTGGTTCCCAAGGTAGTAGGGTTTCTTGTCTGTGCCCCCATCGCGCCTTGGTCAAACGATACGGTTCTCATCTGGAATTCTTTTTCAAACACCTTCCACAGTCTTGTGTCCCAGAAGCTTGCATACCCATCCAATGTACTATGGCCTGCTTGAAGTTCCCAGCGAGGTCGTTGAACATGCTCCCAAAAGAATCTTGTTTCCTCCCAGGTAGCCACTGCTGCTCGTTCGCCTGGTCGCCGTAACAAGTCCTCGGCCTCATTGATTGCTTGCAGCCTCTGGTCCCGAACTGACTGCGGCGTGCCCTCTGGGTACTCTAAGACAAACCCAACGTCCCGATTCCTTTCCCGAGACCCACCATTGATCTCTCTTCCCACCTGTGCCACTGCATATAACCACATCATCCGCGCAACGAGGGTCAGGTACTTCGGGTCTCGTTGGCCTCCCTTTGCGTACTGCTGATACCGCCCGGGGGGCCCACCCATGATCACATCGATCTTTCCCTCCTTGGCTCCCCATAGCAACATCCTCCAAACTTCATTTCTCATCAAGTCTTGTCCGGCACACCGATCCTTGTCCAACTCCAGAACCACTGTGTCGCCTTGGTCCAACTTCATGATTTCCCAGTGACCCTCGGTCCCCGCAAACAAGTGAACCACCCATCTCTTTGATGTCAAAAACCTCCGTCGCTGAGCTCTCGTGAGAAAGCCGATGTTCTTCATGATATCCCATCCTGACCACAAACCAGCAGCTGGAATAAGGTTTGTCAAACATTCCCCTGGCAGGTCCTCAAACATCGGGGCGTCTCGGATGGCCCTCAAACCTGACTCGAATGCTCCATTGGCCACATAGTCGTAGAGATAGGAATGCCACGACTGCTCCATTGCCATTGCAGCCACCTCGATCTTATCTTTGGTTGTGATCACAGCATTGCCTAGCTGCTCCAACTTTCTATCCTCCAATCTTGCTATCAAGGATAGAGCTTCCATCTCACACAGTTGTGGGCAACCAGCTTCAACATGCAATCGCAAAGCTTGACCATCAGGTGACGTCAACACGCATCCATCTGGGCTCCACACCATTGTATACCCCAGCGTGCTGATCAACTGACCCATTGGAACAATAGTCTGAGGATTCAGCGAAGGCGACTTCTGAGGGTCATCGGAGCTGTACTTGTATGGCATCAATAGAGTTCCGCTCGTTGTTATTCTCATCACCAACTGATGACTCCCAGCCAATTGTACCGCCACTTCCTCTGCCTCCTCCCACTCAGTAGGTGAGGTCGCCGCGCGCAAACTATGCGTGGCCCCACTGTCCACTAACGCTGTAGTGCTCTTTGACATTGAACACACCCTCAGATCACGCAAATGAAGAACCCGCATCTCCGGCTTGGTCTTTTCCGGGGAACCTTCGCGACTGGCCTCTCCCTGAGATGGATGCACCACCTGTTGTGCTGCTTGTATCAACGTCTCTAAGGTCCATGGGACCCCTTGCACAGTCGACCCAATCGAAGATAAGGTGTCCGAGGCTCCTGCAGTGGCAGTAGTAGACACTGACGACACTCCCGCCTGCTTCTCCCTGTCCTTGTTCACTGGAGGGCCTTTGGGATCTGAGCTTGTAGTGGATGATGTCATCTTGGGTTGCGCTTTGCCCGCTGTGCACTCCTTTTGTCTATGGCTTTCTGAGCCACAGGCCAGACATTTCTTGTTTCTCACGCTTTTCTCCAGAGAAGACATATCGTGTGAGAAATTGCACTTCATCCCACGTTTACATCCCGAGGGTTTCTTAAAATATTTGCACATTTCACTTGACCCTGTTGAGCGACCACGATCTTTATCTCGCCCCTTTGGTGACGCATTCTGAGTTGTAGAACTGTCAATAGCCCGAACCTGAGGTGAATCTTTGACTCCTTGAGTTGACGACCTGGGCTGACTGGATATCATCGTCTCTATCTCAGCCTGAAGGTGCCGCTGATATGCATAGACGCTGTCCATAGTAGGTTGTCCATCCAACCTCAAGGAAGTACGAAGCATACTCGTACGGAATGCCACATCCGGTGACCCATCCACCCACTTAGACGTAAGCATCTTCAGTCCTCTTGCTAAAACAGAAGCATCTGGGGGTGACATACCAACTGTAGTACATCGCGACATCCACCTGGGCCAATTTCTCAAAATGGCAAGAACACCTTCCAGCGAGTCTTCAGTCACGTAGTCGAGGGGTCCTTGTAATCGACGCAATACATCTTGTCTTTCTTGACTACCACCCGGCTGATAAACTGTATGTAGACGGTAAAGCATCTTCACCACATTTGTGGAGATACGGTGCGCAACCATATCTCCTCGCTGCTCCACTGTCATAGCCGACAAAAACATTGAAGCCACCCGCGCATTAAGTCGCATCCACCTCCCTTCAGACAGCTCAAGTCCGCCTGGAATCACATTGAGACGCTCCAAAGGAGTTGCGGCTAACCACACCTTATAGGCCCTTTCCACCTCTTGTAGCACGGCTTCCCACCACACTCCACTTTGTTCGCTCACATCTCGCATAATCGCTGAAGTCACTTCTAGCCAGTCTTGAAACAACAGCGCAGATTCAGCCCCATGCGTAGTCACCGGCAACGGCGAAAGCACAGTGGTTCCAGGTTTAACCACTTCCGCCGCGAGGTTCTGCCCTTTGGCTAGGGCTGCCGCTTGCAGCTCTTGCAACTGCTGGACTCCTTTCATAAGCGCATCCATCATCGGCGACTCGTGAGTCCCCTGCGTTGGCAACCTGGGTGGCGGCGGCGAGTCGCTCCTCATTCTTGCTGGGCCCAGGAATGATCTCAGGAAACCTCTGGGCTCTGACATTGGAGGCGGCGCTGGAGCAATGGGTGCCTGCTCTGGCACAACCCGTTGCTGACTTGCTTCTCGGCCAAACGTAAACCTGGTTGTAGTACTCCCAAACCCAGCTGCTCCTGTAGTTCCTCCCCCAGTGTAAGCATCACCCGGGGCACTACTCCCACGGTCTCCATCTTGGCCTGGATCTCGCAGAGGTACAGTAGGAGCTCGAGAAACGCTTGGACCTCGAGGTACATTAAGATCAGGTGGTAGATTGGGAGCTAGAGGTACTCCAATAGAAGATGGTACTGGAACTTGTTGTTGTATGGTATCCTGTACCCACTGCTGATCATCCCCCTGTCTTTCCCCTTGACCATCATGCACCTCATCGCGATATTGCGCTGTAGCTGTATCTTGTCTGACTGCTTGTAGGGTCCTTTGAGTCTCACCCAACTCGACCTTCAGCGCCTGATTCTGCTCCTCTGCTATTTGCAATCTCGTCAATAAGCCACCTAATTGCCTCTGTACCTCTGCTTGTATTGCTTCCTGAGGAATATCAGACGAGCTTGGTGGCGTAGGCGGCTGTAACAGAGATCGCTGAGGTCTTCCCGGTGACCTCAACCGGAAAGATTGTCCACCCGGCGGTGGAGAAGGAGTCGCTGGACTCCCCAAAAGGGGACTTGGTGCCAACTCTGGATGGCCAACACTCAAATACGACCCCAACCTCGAAACCCATCGCGGCACTTCCAGACCTCCCAGCCAGTTATTCTGCGCAGTAGGAAAAGGTGCCACTGATCTCGGAGTCAAGAACTCCGTTGCGCCTGCACTGCCTGCTCTTGCACCTGTCAGCAATTCTCCTGATGGATGTCTGTCCAACCCCAAGGTCGTAGTCACCATTGGCGGGTGCTCCTGCCTTGGCATCGATTCAGTCTCCACTCCAGAAGGCTCAACTGGCGTCATAATATTAGAGCTCCTCAGCGGTCTAGACGAAGGGGCAGGATCATCATTCAGCCCATCACCCACTGTGGCCTGCTCTGTCGGCAGCTGTTGGCTCAAATCCAGCGGTGATCTTCCACGGTCCTCGGCAGGTGTCACTCCAGAGCCTTGTCCATGGTTTGGATCAACGCCATTTATCTCTGGCGCAGCCCTTAGCGGTTGGGCGCTCATAACCTAGAAAAGCACCTGCCCTTCACAGCGCAGCTATCGAAAGCAGAACCATGGTGGCCATGAACAAACGAACGAATGTTTTTCTCTTAACTCGCCAAACAAAAGCTGCTGTGACGTCGTAAAAGCCTTCTGGAGTTCTGCTCTGCTGGGTTGTACATAAAAGCTGAGCTGGTCACTCCGGCAACGACTTACTCAAGGGCCCTTTGTGTAGCCACACCCTTGAGCATGGATAACGGCATACGTGGAGGCTTTTCTGCAGGTTTAGGATGGTTTGTAGGGTTTTTTGGGGCCCTCAGGGAGCCCAAAACATCCCAAAGCCAAAGCTATTTGCGAGTAGAAACTCGGGTGGCTTGACTTTCAGCCGCGGCAATCGACCACAGGCTTTGGGGTTTGTGTCGATGGCCAAAGATGGGCATGACACTATAGTCACTATAGCCATGACAACATGTATAAATAGTTTGCAACTTAAGACTCCTCCTCACTCTTGCCCGGGATAGCAAAGAGCACCTGCAACACGGCGGTGGCTGAAACGGGGTCAGAGTGTCTGCGCCGTTGGCTGAGCCTTGTGTCGCCGAGTTGATCTGCCCAACCATGATGTCAGCGCATTCCGGTCCTCCAGAGGCCAAAAAGGGCAAGGCCGCGCCGGCAGCGAAGCTGCAAAGGCTCGGTGGCGGCGGATGCTCTCATCCCGGTCCGAGCTGAGCGGCAACCCGATGTTCGGGAAGGAGGTGAGCACGAACTTCGTGAGCGCCTGGACGGTGAAACACCCTTGTGAGCCCTCGCTTCGACGAGAAAACCCTGCCTGTGGAGTTTCATGCATCTGCGTTACAGGGAAAATCTCCACGGCTCCCAAATGCCTCGCGTGACCAAGTGCCCTAACGTCTAAACTCGTTGCTATCCAGTCCGGGGAGGAAGGTGCCTGCCAAACTTCAGGACAGTCGGAAGCACCTCAGTCGCGACGGGCTCGAGGAAAATGAACTACATGCTGCGGCATGCACGTAGGCATCCGCCTTCAGCTGCAGAGGCCCCGACACGTACCTTCAAAGGAAGCCACTTGGCCTGGTCGTCGGTCACGTCGATGCGCCCTTGGCAAAGCGCAGCAGTGCAAGTGAAAGGGCAAGAGCCAGAGCATGCAAAAGCCCGCTGGGAAAGGGTCCGAAACGGACCAAGTGCTGGTACTTCTGGATCTGATTCTCCCAGAAAGGGTGAAAGCTCGCCTCGCAAGCATCGCTTAGAGCAGGGTTCTTGTTGATAGAATCCAGGCTGCCGGCGCAGTGGGGATTATCTGGTCGGAAAACCTCCGCAGGGGGCGGCTGGGCGAGAGGCTTCTCATTTGGGGAATCTTTGGAGTTTTTTCTTTGGCCTGCACGATCCAAACGTCATTGGAGAACGTCACCAGCCTCGGAACTCGGAAGTCCACGAGCGTCGCACAGCGCCCCACACACAGCTCTCTCTCTTGGGCCAAAGGGGCTCGTCGAAGTTGCCTCTGTTCAAGGGCACGCTCTTGGGGGACGTCAACTCGGAGCTCGCCTCGAGGCGCTCACCCTCACGCTTGCCCAGCAAGGCACAGGGCAAGGCGCAGGTCTGAAGCTCGGCAGCTGGCTGCACCGCCGGCTTCGTCATAAGCAGCGCGCTTTGACTCGTCGGACCTCGCTGAGGGCTTTTTTTTGGGGCTGTGGGGAATCGCCCGTCCTGGCCCGTGCTGGCCCGCCGGGCACCCGGGCAGCGTCTCGTAGGCCACAGCTATCCTTGAGAATGTCTCCTTCGCGACATGCGAAGACGCTCCAGCTGCAGTCACTTCGTGCACTCTTGAGGCTGCCGAGCCCTCCTGGCAGGAGCTGCAATTCGGATTCCTGGGACGCCCCAAAGGACGAATGCAAGTCTGGGGGTTGAGGCCGAAGATCAGCGAAAGCGCAAATCGGCACAAATGCCCTTGCAAGGCTCTTGTCCGGATGCCAGCGCTTCGCCATCGTCTTGTAGGCGCGCTTCACGTCCGCGGTTTGGGCGTCCCGCGCCACTCCCAGCCTCTCAAGAGGCTTTAGAAATGCACACTCCGCTCACTCAGCGCCGAGGGGCCCGAGCACTCCGTAGTGGTCCTCGCTGCAAAGCGTCGGGCGCCAAGTGTGTTGCGCTTGGAGGCTCCCTTGCCCCTCAACTGACACGCCAACTAGAGTCACTCTAGACTCCCTTCGTGCATATGTCTGTGTGTTGTGTCCTCGGCTTCCACCCTTTCAGGAAGCCTCGAATCGAGGTTCTCGCCGCCAATGATGATGGCCTGGCCAAGTGCCCCCAAAGTTGCCCAACTTTTGTCTCTAGGCTTTGTCTCCGGGGGGCGGACGCAAGTGACCACCTGAGCAGCGCAGCTGAGCACGCCCCCCGCCGCACGCAGGGCGGCGCCGGTCGCAGCGAGCAGCTCAGAAAAAGACGAGAATCGCCACTAAGCCCACGGGCACCTTCTGGGCTTCCACCTGAACATCCGGACAGGGCCGCTCTCCTATGCCCAGAGTCACTCCCAAGATCTTCCAAGGCTCACACGAACTGCATTGCTGCAGTTTTCAATGGCACCTGCTCTTCGGCGCTCTTTTTCTTTCCTGCAGGCTGGACCGGCACTGACGCCTCACCGCACTCCTGCTTTCAACCAACGGCCCCTTATGGATGCAGAAGTCTCTTGTCTTGGGCCTTCAGGCTGAGCTGGGACACTAAGGAGCCGGCGCGTGCCAGGACCCGAAGCGTAGAGCTCCAACCCTGCGACATAGAAGCTAGCTTCTCGACACCCTGAAGCCATTTCAGGGCCTTGACTTGCAGCCCATCGGCACACCTGCAAGAAGCACCGGAGAAGCTGGCAGAGTGACCTCCGCGCCGCTCTGCTAGGAGCCTTAAGGATGAGGAAGGAGTCCGTCCATCTGCCTGGAACCATCAGTGTCTGCACAGGCCGCCAGCCTTTCTCAAGCAGGCCGCAGGCCTGGTGGTGGGGCCAACAGAGAGTCATCGTCTTGCGGCGCTGGCTTCGCGCCATTCGCCTGCAGGTCCGTCGAGGGCCATGGAATCAGCAGACGACACCAGCGAGCAGTAGTGTTGCCACGGGTTGATTCTTGCGATACCTTGTGGTAAGTTGGTAGGCGTCTCGGTGAGGCAAGGTGTGAAAAGAGGGCTTGGCACATATAAATATTGGAGCTGCTTTTTGATATACTTCATGGCTTCATGTTGCTCGCTTATTCTTGCTCCATGTTTTGCTCGCACGTAGACATGCACCTGCCTGAACAAGCATGCAGCTATTTGCGCGTGTGGGTTTGGGTGTGGGCGCGGGTGCGGGTGTGGGTGCGCGGGTGTCTCTGTGCTGTGGGTGCGGGTGTGTGTTGACTCGCGGAGTCTGCCTCCATTTCCCACCCTGGCTCACATGCCCGCGCATGCTCCTCACTCGACGGTTCAAACAGTTACATTCTCAGACAGTGACACTCCGAATCCCAAACCCTAAACCCTAAAACCCTAAAACCCTTCACCCGCCATTCCTTCCTTCGTGCCTTCTGCACAGGCATGCAGTCACGCACAAGCTCAACTCCACTCTGCCGCTGGCTCTCTGACTGAGCTCCGCCACAAACTCTCACCTCCTACTTACGACTCCTCCTCCTACTACTACTACTACTAATAATAACAACAATAATAATAATAACAACAGTAATAGTAGCAATAACAACAATAACAATGATGGTAATAATTCTACCACCACCACCACCACCACCACCCGAAGGCCGCCTTCTGCTCGGTTGCTCGGCCCTTTCGCTGGGCGGAGCCCACCATCCGAGCTGTCTTTCGCCCTTTTTTCCGGAGAACGGGAACCGAAGGCCCCAAGACTAGCGCGGGCTTCTCTTGTCGAGTTCTGGGGGGTTATAGGGGTGTGTAGGGTTTAAGGGTGTGTAGGGTTTTTGGGGTTTAAGGGTGTTTGGGGGGGCTGGGCGTTGCTGGAATCCTTGAGTCTGAAGCTTGAGCTGGTCTGAAGGTTCCAGAAAGAACCCCGGTCGCAGAACTCGGGAAACCTGCTCCTAACACAGTCCTCCATGCAACTATGTTCGAGAAATCGGGAGCTTGTGCTGTCAGCTGCGCTCGTCAAGAAAGATGTGGTGGCGGAAAAGCACAGGCAACAACGAAAGGACCATTCCAGCCCGCAGCAATGCTTCATCACCGATGCTCTTCTTTTTCGACTTTCGACTAGGTTCGCCGTTCGCCGCCCAGGCATTTCTCTGAATCAGCACGCTCTTGCGCCATGCAGTGGAGCTCGACCTCGTGCCAAACAAAACCGAAATCCGAAAACCATGGGGCTGGGGCCATGCACAAATTCCCCACGTCGCAGAAGCTAAAAAGTATGCAGTAATGTACAACAGGATCTATGCAGCAAAACTTGAGTTCATGCTCATACATTTGGGGAATGTGCATTCGTATGTTGATGTGCCAGTTTTGGGATCAGAGCCCAACAAAATCTGACCCCCTGCGGACTGGAACCTAGGCAAAGCCTCCAGTGCCAAGGAGCTCCCGTGCTTCCCCAAAAGCGAGGGAGGCGCAGGAGGCGCAACCGGGCCTTGGGCGCAAATAACACAATGGGCTACGAGGCGGTTTTCTGGGGATCTTCGGGGGATGTAGGGCTTGACAGTTCTTGAGGGCTCTTTTCCGGCGGGACCATGGCAGTGCTTTGGCCAACGCATCGCCACCCCATTCCAACTTTGAGGTCCTCTAGAACCGACAGACAACAAGCAAGCTCACTTCATGACTTCGTTGAGACTTTAAGAGGCCTCCAAGTCATTCACCTGGGGTCGACTTTCCCACGGCACAGAAGAAAACAAGTCCAAATGGACGAAAGAGATCGCCAGCCCAGCGACGGTGCTCGAGGTTTCGCCTGCTTACAGGCCATCCGACTGAAACTGGAACGTGTAGGCGTCGGGCCCCGAGACATTGAACTACTAGGTTACTAGGCGGAACGGATGCGAGACGGCTCGGAACCGGTCCCGGGCACATTGGCCCCAACCGCTGCGGCAACATACCCTGCAGCGGACGCATCCTCAGTTCACCAAAAGCCGCTCTTCTTCTTAGGCAGCCGGGCCAGATGCTCGGAGGAGCGTCGCCTCGTGGCCTCTTGCTTTCTAAGCCTCTGCTCCTGCACGTGCACTGCATGGTGGCAGAACTGGCACTCCAGCTCCGGCAGCCCTCCTTGCGGCCAACGAGGGCTTGCAACGGAGCTCGCGGCCATTTGCTGGCTTTGCTCCTGTCTGATGCAACGCTTTCCTCTGGTCCACCAGTGCATGCACGAAGCTGATGACTGTCGCTTGGCCTTGCAGCAGGTCGTCATTACTTAACAGGCAAATTCCACGGAGCTTGAACACGGACGACCGAAGCCCAAGGCTGTTCTACGGAGCCATAAGCAAAGACGTTTCAATGTGAACATGCAACACACGTCAGCAAGTGCGATGTCGCTTCAATCTTGCAGCCGCCCTTGCAGCCCACAAGTCCGACCTTTACTTCGCCTGCAACCTAAGGCAACTGAGGCCGCGTCCTTTCAGCCGCAAGTGCTGCATTTGAGGCCCCTCCAGCTCCCGCAGCTCCCGGTGGAGGTTGTCCAGGTCATCTTCGCGAGGCGTTCCGGGCGCCATGTCGTCTGACCAGCTGCAGGCTTCTCGTGCCAAGAGCTGCAAGTAATGGCGGTAACGGTATTCTCTGAACCACCAGGGCAAGAAGCATTGCCTTTGCCTTTAGTTCTTCTTCGCAGACAAAATCGGCTTTTCTCCCTAAGCTTTCGACGAGCTGAGGTCCGGCGCGAAGCGCTGACGCCGAAGGGCGGAGGCACCTGCCCAAAACAGCACTTCACCACGGATCACTCCGCGTGTCAGACAGCTCTTCAAAGCTGAAGGAGGGGAAAGAGACTCTGAGCGGGGCACGGCAGACGGCAGCAACGTTGCAACGGACCCGGCGGAGGCCCTGCCCTCAGGCGGAACCCCGTGCGCTCCTTGTAAGAGCCGTTTTTTATGGTTTATATATAAACAAGGCGCAGTGCAGGCTTGACCAAACGACTCTTCAAAGTGTCGCCAGCCCGGGCCCCGCCGAACCCAAAAGAAGAACAGGCCAGTCCTGGATGCGCCCGCGCGCGTGCTCCGGCGGAAAGCTGCCTGCGAATCGCATCGAAAAGCGCCAACAAAAGGCCGGCACTAAAGTCTCTCTGATAGGATCCGATAAGATAGAGAACTCTATGATACAAAAGCCGGGGAGTCCCCCGCAGCATTGTACGAGTCTCTAGGAGAGCCTCACCTCCTTGAGGAGCCATCTCAGCGACCTTTTCTGCGCTCGAAACGGGTAGGTCTATGGCAGAGCCGTGGCCGCAGTGGGCACGGCACATCTTTGCTGCGTCCTTTTGCATGATTTGCCCCGATTGGGGGCTGGGCCGAGAACGTGATTTTTCACAGACTCGTCATGAACACGCCCCCTCCACTGCCCTCCACCCTCCCCAGCTCAGCGGCGGCTTCGGCTTCGGCTTCGGCCGCCGCGGCTGCCGCTTCGGCCGCGGCTGCCACTGCGGCTGCGGCGCCTCTCGCGCTCCGGCCTTTCGTTTCGGGCACCGTCGCGGGCCCCGTAGCCCCTCCGCTTGGCTGCCGTGACGCGCATGAACTGCCGGGCCACCTCAGCTGCGGCGCACTTCGAGATTCTTATTTTTCGGCGGACCACCTGATCAAGGGCAAGGCTGGCTTGGAGAATACAGCAGGGCATCCCAGCAGTTCGGACCCAGCTATAATTCGCTTCTGGTCAGCTGGAGTTTCCGAAGTTGGGGGAAGGGACTGGAACCAAACCACAGCCTACACAGCAAAACATGTGGCTCAACTCCCTCACATCCGTGTTCTTCGGCAGCCAGATCTGCACGGCGAGGCACTTCCGCCGGATCTTCCGCTTTTGTGAAGTCCCAGTTCTTCCAGCATTTGTCGAAGCCACCTGACCCAACTCAAAAAGGCGGACAGCGGACAGTGGCCACGTACGTGAGGCATGTGATGTCTGAAGTCAAATCCCAGAAGCTTCCGGGAGAGCCGTCGTCGAGCAGCACTTTCTCATCTTTCCGCCTTGCCGGGGCCCGGCGCCCCACGCGTTCCGGTCCGGTGAGCAAGCATCGCCCGAGATGTCTCAATGCACTCCGAGGCTCTGCGAGGTCCGGGACGGATGACGGAGCTGCCTCGGGCCGCGCGTCATCCCGACGGGTCTCGGCTCAGATCTCACTGCGCTCCGCTTCGCTTTGCTCCGGCCGGGGGCGGCGCTGCTTCTCGCTCCTGGCCCCCTCCTGCGCCGCCTGGGAAGCAGAAGCGGAAGCGGAAGGGCGGCGCTCCCTCCCAAAGCCCTCTGTCTTTCCGTTCTCTCTCGCTCTTTCTGCTCCTGGGCCCGCTTGGCTCGCTCGTCCTCCTCCTTCGACAGCGGAGCTCAAAGCTTCCGAAACGCAAGATCGTGCACCGCTGAGACATGGGCCTTGTCGAAGTCGTCCGCAGACAAGGCGAAGACTCCTCCCAAGTTCTTCCTTCGCTCGCTCTCCTGCTTGCGCTTCTTCTCCTGCAACACAGACGAGTCAAAACTGAGGAAGTTGCAGTTCCCCGCATGTCCTGTCCTGGACCTCCTTCAAGCGCTGCAGCTGCCTCCTCTCCTCTTCAATCCTCCGAGCCTGCGACGGCGGTTGGGCCGCTCCGAGGCGAGGGCGCGGCCATGCAGAGCTTTTTGAGTCCACACATTTGAGTCTACATGATGCGGGGCTCAAGGTCTCTGTTTCGCCAGACCTCGTGCTCAGAGTTCACGTCCAGCGCCGTTGGCAGGGCTCCTTCATGTGCATCCTCCTCGGCAGCCTCGTCCTCTTGAGTTGAGAGCTATGGCAAAGACAGACTGCTCCTTGCGCGCCAGAAAAAACCCTCAGCTTCCGTGTGGTGTCCTCCTCTCCGTCTCCGTCGGGGCTGTCATGCTTCGGCCGCACCTGGGGAGCGACTCAATTCTTGTCTGGGCCCTGCTGGCCAGGGGTCGTCTCCTCTGCGAAAGCTCCATCGGATTCCATGGGATTCCAGCTCTTGAAACTCAGCCGGCCTGCGTTCTGGAACGTGACTTGCTAGCCGGAACCGAGCTGGATCGCGATCGCCTCCGTGCAGCAAGCTCCCTGACACCGGGGCATCTGAGGCCCTGAGATGAGCACTCGGACTTCTTCCGCTTCTTCCTCTTCTCCCTCTGCTCCACCTTTTCCCTCTCGGCACGGACCTGCCAACGGCCCCGGCTCTGCGTGGCCCAGGCCCAGGCGGCCCAGGCGCCCGGCCTGTCCCGGCTTGGACTTCGCCTTGGGCCTCCGTCGGATGACCTAAAAGGCAGGGCCCGAAAGAGGTCAAAGAGAAGGGAAGAAGAAGGGCCCAAAGGAAGGCTCCCAGCCCCCCTTCGCCGAGCCTCGGCCACGAGCATGGCCTCTCTCCCGACGTTGGGGATGAGGTGCGGGCCCTGCATGGGCGCAGATGGGCGCATGGATCTGCGCTTTTCGGAGCCCAAAGCTTCCTAAAGTGGTCTCCAAAAAAGGCCCTTTAACTCTCCTTTCGGCCGAAATTGCACGCACCTATTGATCTTCTTCAGAGAGCTCTCTTCAGCGAGCTTTTGCTTTAGAGCGCCCCCCCCTTCCTTTGCCTGGCCTGGATGTGGTGGGTCATGCCGCCGGAGCGGGCCCCGGCAGGGGCCCCGCCACGGTCGCCTCCGCGCGTCATTGTTGGTTGGCCTCAAAGCGACTGGAAGGTGACATGATATAATATGATATGATACATGATATGATACATGATAGAATATGATAGAATATGATAGAATATGATAGAATATGATAGAATATGATAGAACATGATAGAATAGAGTAGACTATGGGATGTGAGGAAAAACAACAGAAAGGGGCAATCTAGTCCACCCGCGAATTGTTTAGACTTGTCAGCGTCCGAACTTCCGATGTGATTTCAGGTGATAGCCCGAGACGGAGAGCCCAAGTGCATGCTCGCCCAGCTAACTCGCTAGATGGGCCATGGGTGTCCGAGCAAACTCAGCACCGAGGTTATTTCGACATGTTTGCATGTACATCTACATCTACATCCACATGAATGTAGGTATATGATCGTTGTTCAGACTCTTCTTGCCTACATGTGTATAGATTGGTGCAGACTTCTTGCAAGCTCTTTCCGACTTGACAGTCGTGGAGTCGTCATCACACACCGAGGTCTCGGTGCCGGACTCTGTGTTTTACATCGCAGGGGCCACAAAGGGAAACGCGCTCTACTACTGGATCTTCTTGGCTCCGATCGGCCGCGGGCTTGGGTTTAAGCTCCGGGACGGGTCCAAGTGCTTCTCCGTTAAAGAATATCTGGCTGGTGTTGAGTGAGTGGAGTGCTTCTGGGACGGAGCCACCAGTCTGCCGGCCCTTGAGCCACAGCGCATCTCTTCCAAGGTCTGCTCGTAGATACCGTGCCTAAACCATCAGGTTATGTGATAGTCAAGCACCGCTTGCAAACTGAGCTCATATGAGCGAGAAGTGTTGCTGCCACAGCTGAGTCAGCTTCCAAGCTTTGAGCCAGGGTCAAGGGCAAGGCGCGGACTTGTCCAGTGTCTGCTCACGCGTTCTTCCCCGATTCGGAGATAAAGGTCGGTGTCAGGCTGCCGCGTCCGAGTTCTTGGTCCCCAGCAAACAGCGAGCGGAGCGCCTCTTCGACGGAGAGCAGTAGCCCTCGAGTACGTGGCATAGGAAGCTGGCCTGCGAGGCTCGACTCTCATCCTTCACTCTTGAGTACTTCAGCCATGCATTCAAGGAAGACTTGACATTTAAATGACTCTGTTAGTCAGGTACTCTCTGCTTCAGCCTGAGTTGGATGGCGAAGTCTCAGCAACATGATAGCTGGCTGGGAACTTGCTCCTCGCCCAAGCAGCTGACTTCGTGATTGGCACACGTACTATCTGCTAAGCACGAAGTGTTTGAATGTGTGAATCACTCTACTGAGCAATTGCTCATTGATACAGAGTGAAACAGAAACATTAGTGAGTTAGTCATGAAGTTTAGTTTGCACTCAGCAGATCATGAGCTTCAGAAAGGAATTCGTTCAGGCCGGAACTTGGAAAACTGAGACCAATTTTTGTTCGCGCATGAGCATACAACCAGAGTCTATGGAAAACATGTGCCGCAGAGAGATCCATTCGCTCAAGTGAAGACCTGGTGAGCTGCTGGATCACACTTCGGGATCGCGAGCTGCGGGATCTCCCTGCTCGGCAGGGACACAACGTCCGGCTGTTTCAAGCGTTCCAGCACCATCTTGATGCTGTGTGCGCGTTAAAGCAGTTAAAGGACTTCCTGGGCGATAGGTCCTAGAAGGACGCAGAGCTGTGCCGATGCGACACCCCTCGATGCCGACAGTGAGCGATGCTCTGGCTTAAAGAACCAGGGTGGTGTCTGTATAGACGCCCGGCGCCACCGCTTTCTTCTCGCTGCTGGCATTCTTGATCGTGACCTCCATAGAACTTGACTTGTAGGAAGACATGGTGTGGTTTCTGCGGCTCGGAAAACTTGGTCGGACTGGACAAATAACCGCATCCGCGTATCGACCTCTTTACATAGACCGACTGAGCTCACAGCTTCTCCAACGATCGTAACACCGGGCGAGAACCTGAAAACTGGGTATTGGTTCTTGAGTACTCGCGGTAGCTGACTCGTCACACGAAAGTTGTCCATGCCCAAGGCACACGATGGGACCCTCAATGACCAGCTTCTTGCAGTCAATGAGGGATGGTGGTCCGTTGGGAATCATGCCATCCATGGCATCAACAAACCTGCAGACAGGACTCGCAAAGGCCCTTCTCTACTCACTGAAGCGGTGGCTGCAACAGCACAGATGTCACAGCTCTGCAGAGTCTTGCCGAGCTGCTTGTAGGAGCCATCCTGAGTTCAGCATAACGCAGCTACCCCACAGAACCCACAGCCGCAGCTTCGCAGCGGGACGTCTCTCTCCTTCACCAGGTCTGCGCCTTGCGCTTGCGCCTTTCTGAAACGAGCCCTCTATACGGCCACCCAAAAAAGAGAGTCACTCTTTGTGCAAAAGACGGCACCAGGTCTGCCAGGTCTCAAGCTTCACGTTGGGAGGCAGGCCGCTCCTCTTGGGATCCAGCTCGATGCCTCGGCTCTCCGAAAGAAGGGGCGGATGCAATAGAAAGGGTCTCGCCATCATGAACTCTCCAGCCGTCTCCGTCGAGCTTCGGGAGTCCGGCGTCAGCAAGTAGGCGTCGGATCTAAGAGCGAGCAGGTCGTTCGTCGTCTTCACCTGAGGCATGCGTTCTGGTTCGCCGCAGCTGCCCATGTCGCAATCTGCGGCTTGGCCAAGTCGCTGGAGCAAAGCGGGAACGAGGGATCACCACCGCGGTGGCACCCGGGAAGCAGGAGATGGCAGCACCCATTGCGGTTTCCAGCTGCAGAACCTCTCGAAAACCGGTTTCACCGAAGCTGGAACATGCTAGATGCCTTGTGCGAGGGCCACAGATAAGACTTGCTGTGACCTGCCTTCGTCGACTTCTTGTCACGAGGGTCTACGGTCTTGCTGTTCCTCGGCCAATGATCCGAAATTCGCCCTTTGCAGAGTGCTACAGCTGGGCCCCGATGAAAGCGAGCTGGGGCGCTTCATGACCGGCAGCTGAAGCGCGCCGCCGCTCTTTCGGAACTGGTCGGCCAAGGCTTCCAAGTCCACCCAAAGGTTGTTGGTATTGAAAAACCTCAGGCTCATCTCTCCCTTTGACGTGACTGGTTGCAACTCGCTTTTGTCCGTTCGGTTAGGAGCTCGCTTCAACCCATTTTCAGGCGAGCAGCTTGTACTTGCCCACATTTTGGAACTCCTGCCCGTGCTGAGTAACGTATAGGGAGGTTTGTCCCGAGGAGCCCGCCTTCTCATCCTCCTCCGGGCACTGCGCGGTCTCCCTCAGGAGCAAGCCTCCGGTCCTCGGTACCGAACAGAGAGCTCTTAGAGCCCTCAAAACCTCCCAAGCTCCCCTCTCTCTTTCTCTGTCTCTCCGAAGGCGGATTTTCCGAGGCGCTTCTTGTCCTTGGCCAGGTGCCCGCCCTTCTTGTCAGCATCCTGAGCCCAGGAAGGGTGGGCTCTCGTCTTTTTGCTGAGAGGGCTCCGAGGGCCAAGGGGCCGTTCGGGTGGCCACCTCCATCATGAAGGGCGCCTTGCTGCCGGCGAAGTAGGTCAGCAGCTTCAGGTCCTGGGCTCAATTAAGACATTGGAGACTCCAAGACACTTTGACTCCCAGTTCTTCACTTCAGAGCCTTCTTTGAGTAGCTTCCAGATCCACAGATGCGCCGACGCACGGCCCGGGCTCTGCGGCTCCCGCTGCCGAGAGGCCAAGGTGGCTCCGAGGTTGTCGGAGTTGGAGACCTCGGCAAAGGCGGAGCGGAGCTTCGCTCTCAGCGCTTTCACCAGACGTCAGAGACCGCTCGACCGCTCTCATTTGATTTTGGATCTGAGGAAAGGGAGGGGGGTCTGAAGGCTCTGAAGGAAAAGGTGCTCGAAGGTTGAGGCAGGAGGCGAACATGTACTTGATTCCCTGCATCAGCAGCCGGTCCAGGGTCCCGCTGCCCACCATGGCCGGATAGAGGTCCCCGTGTCCGGGAGGGCACCACTCCTGAGCCAACAAAAACCGGACCGAACCGACGGCCGGAGAAAAAAAGCAGAGCCCATACCGCCCCGCCCAAAGCTGAAGCCGCGGCAGCCCCTTTCAGCCCCTTTCACCGCCGCCTCCGATCTGCCGAGGCGCGTGCTCCGGACTCGCTGCCCAGGTGGCGGGCCGCAAGTCCTCCCGGCCGCAGCGCCGCGCACTCACGCTCTAATATATAGTATGTGTATATATATATATACATATATATATAGGGTCTCGGATCAAGCA